TTAACTAGCCTTAAAATTATGAGTTACTTCCTGGTTAGTGTAATGGCAGAAATATTTATTTTTTAACAATAGTGCAATACTTTTCAATGCCAGCAACTTTCTTATTGTGTTGTTTTTTGCTTCAGTAAAATTTTTTTTATACATTGGCTCAATTTACTTAACAGTTCAGGTTTTATTCTGTTCGCAGGAAAATTACGCTTTTCAGCTGGATAATTGCAAAGGATATGTGAATTGCAAATCCAGTTGTTATTTTTATTTTATGACAAGCAAAATGCTTTCAGATGTTAAAAAGAGGATTTGAGCGTGAAGATCAGATGAAATTTCATTTTATTTTATTTTACATGTTTTTTCCTTCGTAACTTCAATAACAAAGTTGAATGTTTGTCAATAAAGAAGTTGCATATACAGTCATATTTAAATAGTATTGAACACATGGTTGCATATTGGTAAAAGCCATAGTCACCCATTTGACAGTGTGCTGGACACAAAACGACGCGATGGTCGATTGCTGGAAACCCACATGCATTATAAAACTACATAGAATATCGAGTTTTCTAACGTTGTTCTAATGGCCTGAAAATTGTCCGCTATGGATAAGATAGTATTATTACATTACCCTTATGTTTCTTGAATTGGTCATGAATAATTTCAGCCAACTTTCCTGCTGCAGGATATCCTCGCCACTACCGAGGAAGAATGCTGTAATTTCTATCTTGTAAAGCAAGTGGAAATAAAGTGTATAAATAGTTTATAGTAAATGGTATGTTTCCCATCATCACCTAAAACGTTACATTGTATTTATCAAATGCCTGGACATTGACCATCAAGTCATTAGGCATTGAGCTCTCCAATACTTCTTTGCAATACAGTCCAAACTCTTATGTGCAGAACACACGTCCAGATGAGCAGCGTCCATGACTTGTCCAGAATCACACAAAGCACATGAAGGTGAGGCAGTCAGATTGAAACGAAACAGATGAGCACCAAGACAGTCATGTCCAGTCAATAGTCTAAACTCAGCCCTAGAAGTAGCACTAGGAGTCCGAGACACAACCGGCTTTTAATACCTAAAACGATACATAATATCCATTTACAACTGTGCCAGAGGAGGCCTTATTTTAATACATACATAGACAAATCTGCTTTTAACGGGCACTCAAGGGAGAGAGGCCTTTTTTCTGTTATCAGTGCGTATGCGCTAAAGAAGGAGAGAATATTTCTCATAATTTGAGTGGTCCGGGGATTCAGGACTTAGCGGGAAGTGTCCGCTAAATTGGAATATTCATAAAGGAAAGTTCGATTTTATATCCGCCCTCTACTTTTAATAAAAATACAGAAATAAAGAGAGATTTATTTCACGTGAAAAACTAATTAGGGTAGATCTGTAACATTGTTCGTAAGTAAATTGCCATTTGTGCCGCTTTATTACAACAGCGTTACTTATGCATCTTTGCAATATTATGTAATAATTTTACTGCACAAAACGTGCAGAATAGCATTTTCAATGTAACAGAATGCGTAGAATAGCATTTTTTATATACTTATGCAGAGATATTAAAATGTTATTCTGCACATTTTGTTTATAATTTAGAATAAGTTAATCAAATTTACACCTATTTCTCAAATTCTTATTGCTCTTGCTGCTTAATTTCTACTTTTAAAAATCAAAATGATTGAAGTTCGCCTTTGTTCTTCAAATTATGCACATGATTTTCAAAGACGAATTAACAATACTTTTTATAAGATAGAGGTCTGCAGCCCAAACGGGATAGTGGTTAGTGATTGTGCCGAAGGGCTAGGTTTCAATTTCGAGGAAAGCATAAATGTTGGTAAATGTGCAGTATGTTTGCAGCCTGGGGACAATCTAAATATATGGCAAGCCGAAAGTTCTCTCGTATGGTTTGGCGGTAGGAGAAAAGGAGTATGTGACCCTCGGAATCACCTCCCTCAAAATTGGTTTACACTTACATAATTAGTTCAGAAGGTCAATAGCTGTACGACCAATCTGAGTTGGTCGTAGAGGTATAGAAACAGAGAGAAATTATGCTATTCCGTTCACTTCGATTGTATCTGCCCAGTTCACTTCATCATGCCCTATCATGTGTGTTAAGGACACCTCAAAATTGGCGTGGAACCTGGTTAAAATCGTAGTCACCTATATGGTGCTCAACGGTTTTGCCAACGAATGGCGTAATCTTTCACTTCTTGCCATGATGAATTTCGTTGGCTTGTTTTGATGAGGTCAGGCAAGTTAGATTAGTCTCAACAACAGACAGAGGTCTTATAAGATTCAGTAAAAATATTTACAGAGAATACAAGTACGAATTTTATTAATTTAAATGCAAATTTTTTATTTTTATTTACTTACTTTTTCATATTTTTCTGCATGCTAAGATTGTGCTATTAAACATCTAGTTAAGGGTTTATCCTTCTAGTAGAAAAAGGGAATTCGATAGATAAGTTCCCAGACTTTGGTAATTTTGAGCATATAACGCATTTTTGAAAAACGTATAGGAAATTAGAATTTTTATAGAATTGTTGCTGAAGTTTCTATAGCTTTTATAGAACCTGCTGAAAATCTGTCAGAAGAAATACATTGTTGATCCGTTATATGAAGGAAAAATAGTACTCAGGAAAAGTAATACATATTACATAATTTATTCCCATTAATTTAGTTTAAAAGTGAAGATTTTGAGGATTACATGAAATTTAGTTTCATTAGATATGTAGTTCATATTTTAGTATATCCACAAATGAAACTTAAGATTTTTAATTCTGTAAAGACGCTTACTTGACCCGTGAGATATCGTTTAGAAATATGCATGTAAAAACTTAATATACACAGATGTCTTACTATCTGTAAATGATTGCTTAGAATTTTAATCAAGGATAGCTCGATTATTTTGATCATGTGAAGACAGAAATTTTTTACTACTTCAGCTGTGAAAAACATTTCTTTCACTGATAATTGTATAATGTATGAGAAATGCATAATTTTTTTTCATATAATTTTTCTGAAAAAGTGCCATGTCGACAATATTGTTTTTAATTTATAGTTAGAATTTGAAAATCTCTTCTTGATTCATACTTAAAAACTAAACTATAGTTCACGAATAAATAGTCAGAAGTTAAGTAGTCGAACAATCTTTTAGATGCACTTTGCATAATTTTCGAGGTACTATACTTCTCTTCTTAGTCAATAATACTTGTCTAGAAAAAAGGAAATCGCTTCGTCTTTTGTCTTCATAATTCAAAGTGCCATTTTAAAAATCAATGCATGCTTATATTCTCTACTTTTAAATCTAACTATTCTATTGGAGTTTGATTTTCTGCCTCTGAAAGGCTGGCTACAGATATTTAACTTAAAAATTTCAATTTCCTCTGAAGTAAATATTAGCTAATTCCTCCTTAGATTTTCCATCCAAAAGACATCTCTCCTTAGACAGATGCTCATTATATTACGGTTACCATATGTTCGTATTTAGTATTTACAATTTGTATTTTAAATGCTCTGTGTGTTTTTACACACAATTCTCAATAACTAATGAAATTTCCGAATTTTTAGTTAACAATGCAACTGCGATTTTTTTAAAAATTTTAATATAATTAAATAGTGCCAATCTAGTAATTACATTTGCAGATGCATCAAACAGACTAATACGAAATAGAACATGCGTTCCAAGTCAAAGCGTGGTAAATAAAATGTATAGGGAGAAGACAAGTAGCAGCTATTTTAATTCAGCATGTTACTAAAACTATTGAAAAATTTAATCTATAAAATAAAATTGTACTATACTGTGCGATTAACACAAATGAGAATTTCGAATATCTATAAGATAAAACTGCGATTTAAAGTTCAGTAAAGAATTTTTAAGAACTGAATGCTATGCTTATATTGCTCTCAATTCTGTACTGATTAACTGTCTTTTTACCTTGAGAAAAGTGACAGTAATTAAATTATACAGGCATTTATCCATTTATAGAATAACAGTAAGAAAATTTCAAAGAAAATTTGCTGTTATAAGACAATGAGCACAAAATAGAATTTTCATACAGGCTTAAGTCTGTTACCTTGTAGAGACATTAGGTATTTTGGAAAAAAGAAAGATGAATTATTCTTCAAATGTTCATTCATATAGTTATCTTATACAGTTAGTTCATATAGTTATCTTATATAGTTCATATAGTTATCTATTCATATAGTTCAAATGTTCATCATAGTTATCTTAATAACTTTTGAAAAATAGGAGACACCTATAAAGCAGCTTAAAGAGCTCATGAAAGATTGTCTATCAAATAACAGAATTACATAAAGAAATTTCAATCTTCTGAAAAATATAATTGCAATCATACTATAAAAATGTAAATATGTATTTCATGCTGAGAATTTCGTTTTCATTATTTTTAAAATTTTCTACTGGAAATTTTATTAGACACTGATTACTCTTACGAAATTCGGTAAACTTACTTCTATATTTTACCATGAGTAACTCGAAATTAATTTAGATCTAAAAAGAGAAAATTCAACAAACAAACTAAAAAAAAAAAAAAAAAAAAAGACTTTCTTGAGACAAAAGTACTTCATATTAAAACATTTTTCATTTTTGAGCCGCGACTAAGGAAGTTTTCAGCCGTGTTGAAAAGGAGATTGCATTCGTTATACCATAGGTTTCGAAAACGAGTATAACTAATAAAAGCGACTGCGATGTTAATAGCCAAACAAAAAGCGAAAGCAATATAAAAGCGAATGAAAATGAGAGAAGCTAGAAGTTCGAGTTTGAAGGTTACTGTGCTACAACCTAAGGAGAAAACTCTCCTCGAGTAATAAACGGACAAGAATAGATTAAAAATAACAATAAAAAAGAAAGCAAAACATTTTCAAAATGATCTTTAGGAAAAAATGGGCCAAGATCCGTATATGGCTTCTTTGAGGCTCTTTTGAAGTCTTTGAAAGTGACGACGCATGCGCGAGGTAAGTAGTTGCGCATGCCGGGAAGTTTCTACCTGCCCATTGGCTAACAACTTCTCCGAAGACTCAACAGGTGAAGATCTTCAAGAAGAGAGTGAAAATATTTCTGAAGAAAAGGTACATCCTTTGGACACAGATCCTGTAAATAAGAAACAATCAGTTGGAACATTACTTATAAATTTTAAGGACTACTGCAACAATGTTTGTCAAATCTAATGACGTGAACTTGCGATAATTACCACAGTTTTTCATGGATGAAGAAACTGGTTAAGTAAGTCAATTAATTTTATTGCTATCACTTTTATCTTTTCCTGTTTTCATCTGTTGCAACTTGCGTCGCAAAATTTGAGAAACCTGAATTTCATCTGCAGTCTAATAGGAGATCTAATTTTCTTAGATCCAATACATCAGTTTTCAAAAATTTCGTTCTACCACTGGAGGATATTAATGTTCATTTTCATTGATATCAACTTTAAAATGAGGTAAAATTGTTAAAACTTAACATAGATTTAAAACCTACATTTTCGTATATAGATATATTTTAAATTAACTCATTACCTAATACAGCTTAGTTAATTTTTATGTTCTGTAATAACATTTCTTGCCTGCAGTTATTCAAAAACTTTCTTTAAAGTAATAGATCTTGACATGCAAAATAGAAAGAATTAAATAATGAAATAACTACATTCACTCACGCTTAATATTTAATTTAATCTACGATTATAGATATCTCTAGAGCCGCTTGATTTATAATGAAATCTTTCATCTCCATAAATCAGATTATGACCTTATTTCTAAATTATTTGGTTGAAGACTTTAATTTCAACCAATCATTTAAAGATGAATTTATTTAGATAGTAATCACAATTTAAGGGGTAAATGTGAATTTTGTTCGTTTCAAAAGATGCCAATATTCGTTTATATTTCAGTACAAATTTATTTTTTTATACTTTCAATAGATCATTAATGTTATTGTGAGGCACAACTACGGAAAAAATAAGTATTTTTAAAATGGAATTCACGGATACCATTTATCGGCTACAGTGCTTTTTATTGAATTATGTTGCATTTAAATTTAATACTTTCGATAAATACTGATGCACTTACATCAAGAAATTAAGCAACATTCTTTTAAAGTGGCTATATCGGAATCCATGCTATAGCAACATAACAACATAATTTCTAATGTTTACAATTTAATTCATAGAATTAGGCTGAACCGCAGTTAAATGAATTCAGAAGACAGCCTGTTTTGTAATTGTTTGCGTAATATCACAGCTTAAACTAGCGATCACAGCTTAAACTAGTGTTTCTCAAACTGTGCGTCGTGAGGTCATATGAGGTGTGCTGCAAAATTTTTGGATTTAAGCACACATTGTAAAATTTTGTTTCCATTTTTATTAAATTATTAATTAAATTCCAATTAAACTTGAGCAAGTGTATATTTTATTCAGTGAAAGTGTTGAAATTTAGAAGAGAAAACGGTATCAGGATCTATAAGATGACTCGTTAAACTATGTTCGTCTAGCTAATCACAATCTCTCTAGTGATATCTCTTCTTTGAGTTGTAATTCATTTAATTTCATTTCCTTATTAACTTTCCCACATTTGTCGTGACAAGATTAAGAGATATATCTTAGTAAAAAAATCCTGCTTCTGCAGAATTTGGCAAGACAAGGTCTCATCTCATTTCCATAGAATTAGGAAAGACAAAGTCCCACTTTAGGCATAAAATCTCATGCTTCTGAGGAATTCTGCAAAAACCAATAAGCAACATAAGAAACATAGACTTAATAGAATATAAATTAATTGAAGAGAAATTATATTCATAATACTGTTAGCTAAACCATACTAATATTATGAAACTGATATAATAATAAAAATGAAAAATCTCTATCATTATGAAGCAAGATCACGTATGTTCAGTTAAGTCTAATGTTAACCGAAAAAATGGTGGTCATCACTATCTTAAATTACTGCAACCAATGTTTTTACGGCTTAGAATAAACCCATCATTCTTATAATTTTTAATTTAATCCGTTCAGCGGTTTCAAATTTGAATATATGTAGGCAGAAAATATGTTATTTTAACTACAATCAATGACAAATGCGGCTGAATGCTCTGTGAATAGTATATGTCTTTTATTTAACTACTTATTTTTAAAAATTCAGTCTTTGGAAAATATGTTTTGGGAAATCTGATGTTTTTGTCAAAGGGCAGCTGCCTCTTTGTTTTGTTACAGTTCTCACTCTTTTTTGCTTCCATACACCAGTTTCACTATTGTTAGAAGATCATTCTCTCACCCTCTCTCCGTTCATCTCGTTGTAACCACCTGAGTTAAAAAAACCCGAAATAACCTGTTATTACTATCTTGAAATAATTTGTATTTATTTCAGAACGAATTTAAATATCAACAAAACAAAACATTGTACGGCCTATTGGCGTCAATGCACGTTCTAAGTTGGCCACTCTGTTTTATTGTATGTAATTTTAACTGCATTTGCATATCATTTTTGTAATTAAATTCTAGTTTTATTTCTTCCCCGCAACGCAGATATGTAATAAATCTGTAATTCTTAGATTTAACGAAAAGTGATCTTTTAAATGTCCCAAAAGATGATAAACCGTTGATATAGTTTCTGTATTCTCTCAGTACGTAAACCCATCACATAAATCTTTTAAGCTTCTTAAGAAACTTGGACTATGACTTTATCCTTTTTGATTTCGCAATTTGTTTACAGTGTTAATTTAAGTGTAAAAAAGTAAATCTTTCGAGAATATCTTTTCAAAGGAAACTACCCAAACCGCTGAATAATTAAAATGTTTAAATTACCTCAGTTTAATAACTGTAAATGAGATGATAAAGACAAATTCAGATAGTGAAAATAATATTCCTTTTGCAATCTTTATTTATCTACGTGTGAGCTTTCTAAAGAATATTTAATTCAATATAATTTAATTGGCAAAAATTTAAAAAAAGGTATAAGTTTTATTTGTGTAATAATTATGATGAATCTATTATATTTTGCATTTTTGATATAAGATACAAGTTACGGCATTGGTAATAACTGTGATTGAATAGTAGTTAAGTTTGTTAATATGAGTTAATTCTAATAGTGACGGGAGCTTGTCGTTTATTCCGGGACAAAGGAAGATTTTCTTATCCCCTCCGGATGAACCTGTTAATTTATATGTGTTATATTTGACTTGCAATGATTAAAAAATCAAGACGTGCTTTCTTTAAGTTTTCTTGAAGATTGTAAATTAATTACTTATTTGTGGGCAGTTAAAATATTACTTTTTAACATTAAATAAAAAATGAAGGTATAGTTAATGAGAATTTTAAAATATGCAAATTTCTGTGAAACAAATCTTGATAAAATTTTTATTTTTACAATAAACATAGCTTCCATAAAATAATTAAATCTGAAAGATTGTTATTGAGCGAATGTCTTTAGTTGTGTAAATGCGCTTTAAGGTGTTATTCAAGAAATAGAAGTCCTATATATTTATAAAAAATTAAAAGAAAGCTGTTGATCTTTTGCTCAAGCAATATTCTACGTAAAATTATTGCGTATTATTTTTAAAAAGGTTTCAGGAAGTTACAAATAAAAACAATAATGTTGATCAAATTTTGAAACAAAATTGAATAGAATAATAGTTAATTAAACTCCAACACGCTAAAAAATTGCCACCGTAGTAAAATACTGTAAACTGCTTAATTTCCATTTTGACTATGCTACAAAGTTTATTTATTTGTTTGCTATCCATCCCATTTACAATTTCTACGGTTGCTTGACCATGGGGGTCATTTGTGGTTACATAAATAATCAGGTGTGATGATTTCCGGGTTTTCAGGCAAGCTAGCCTGCCGTCTGAGTGACTCATAGATTTTGCATTGAGATTTGGCAACTCGTGCATTTATGGACTGTTGTAAAAGTGGTCTGGCAGTGGTTGTTTGTGACGCAATATGACGACCTTCATTTATCGATTCGTGCTTCTAGCTGTTTAAAATGAATGTGGTGGTGTGCGACGCTTGACGTTTGTTTCTTTTTTTCAGCTTGTCTGAATGAGTGAAAGTGGGAACGGTAGGAAGATTTAGATTTTACGAATTTTACATTCTAAGATTTTATTCTATTCAGCACAAGAAATGCCCTATAATATATCAACAGCGGCACACAATTTTAACGTAATAAGAAAATGTTAATGAGCGTAAAACTGAGAATAAGCTTTTAATTCTACATCGCAGATATTACTTGGAAGGGTTATTTGGAAAGTACGGCATTAAAAGTGAGTCTCGAAAACATATCACAAAAATTCAGTTTTTGTTTTCCTGCATTTTCGTTAGTTAAAGCATAAGAGGGAAAAATAATATTAAAATAAAATTTAAATATGTAGCAAAATTTAAATAAAAAAGCAAGTTAGAAAATGCTTAAACAATACTGCTATTTAATATTTCAAACTTTTTATATTACTTTTGCCCTATTGTATCACATTTTATAAGCATGCTATTAACCTTTAAGTTTGACTTAATTAATTTCCCTTTACTGAGGGTGATTGCCTTCACAATATTTAAAAATGACTTTTTTTGGATTTTTTAAGTAACCGTTAAAATTTATAACCGAACACTTATAAATTCAATTTCGTTGACATTCGCATTGTTTTTTAAAAATACCAAGAAAGATTTGTTCTCCATATTTTATGAAGTTTAGATTAAAATCGTGAGTGTTTTAACATCACAGAAAGATACTTTCAAGTATATATGTTAATATGAGATAAAATTAGATCTATTGGTCTTTAAAGTTAAAAATTTTATTATGCTTAAACAATTCGCTCAAGAAAGACTAGGGAAAATAGCCCAGAGGGATTTAAAAGAAGCAATGCATAACGTTCTGTGTAGTCACTCAAGTCGCAATTACGTAATAGTGTAAAAAAACATCGTAGTATCATCAACAGCTTTAGAAAAAGTATTGTAATATATTTCTTCACAATGTTAGCGAATAAGAAAAAAGACACCGAGTCACCAATGAATAAAAGGTACAAAAAAGTATGGAATGTTCTCATGATTCCAATTGCTTCAGAAAATTCATGTAAAAATGATAGCTATCTTGTTTTTTTTAGTTCACAATAGGAAACTTATATATATTATATATTGATAAACGGGATGTAATGTTACATAATGAAACGGAAGGCACTTTGGATGCAAATGAAAATCATATTTTCATGTATTATAATTAATGTCCCTCGCATTTCTGAATTTTTTTATTTTT